GAATATATGAAATTCTCTGGATTTTTTTTTTTTTTTTTTGGCATTTTCACATATCATAATTGCCTTATAACTTTTTTTTGCTGTGGAAATAGTCTTTGAAGATTCTTATTACGAAAAAAAAGTTCAAAAACTATTGTTTTTTTTTTTTGCAAGTCAAACCTGAGAAATTAAGAATTTGTAATAACGATATTCTCTTTTTTTTCGTTTTTGTAGGTCAAAATATAATATAAAGCTCTTTTTTGGTGTAGAAATGGTTTTCAAAGATTTCACCGCAAAAAATTGTTTTTGTTTTCTTTTTCACCGTTAAAACATATATATTCGCAGTTAATATATGAAAAAAGAAATTTTTTTAAAAGTATTTTGTTTGTTGATATTGCAGGTATTATGCCAATTTCACATTGAGACATGCAAAATTTATGGCTAATCTGAAAAACCTTTATTTTTTTACTACATTTTAAAAAAACATTAGTATGATTTGGTTTTTCTTTATAACAATAGTTTTTTGTTAAAATAAAGTATTAGTGTAAAGCTTATGTGGCAAAAGTAATAAGTATTTAAGTTAAAGATTACAAAGTGGAATATGTTAGAAAAAATAGGTTTTAAATATCGACACAACTTGATAAATTTTGGGATCGTGTTAGAAAATATTTTTTGGAATCTATTACTTGACAATATTTAATGAGATTGCATGAGTTTTCCTCACTTTTTGTGGGTCACATCATCATTTCCCTCACTTTTCTTTCCCTCACCTAAACTCAAGGAATTTATGGAAAACTCCCCTCATTATTTTTTTATTTTTTTAAAAAAATATATTTCATACATATATTATACTCATTTTTGTAGGGAATTAAAAACCATGAATTTTGATATATTTTTTTAGTAGGTATATAATTTTATAAATATTAAAAAATATTAAAAAAAATGAAATGGCCAATACAAACAGGAGAGAGAGTACGGCACCCCCTCCTCCCATCTCCTTCCCGCGGGTTGCTCCCCTCACCGACGGTGCGGTGTTCCAGTGAGAGGGAAGCCCTCCCACACCTGGTTCCCGCTCCGCTCTCCATGGCCTTAGAATAATCCAAGAAATCAATCTAGATTTTAGGTAAATTTAAGATTGCTAAAATACCTAATACATTTGCCTTATTTCATGTTCTTTGACACAATAACGTGACAGAGTAATAGTGAAATTTTTGTGTATGTCTTTTTCGCAAAACCGAACATCTCTATATAAAGTTAAGTCCAGTTATTTTTGGAAAGAAATGTCACAATTGTTCCTAGCATTTTCGACGGTTGGTTTTGGCGGAAAACAGTGACATTGTTGATTCATTTACATAAGGATTTTGTTTATGGTCAGGCCACTGTACCGCACTCAACAAGAGTGGTCCTCTTAACCCCGCTCATTGACTAGCCAGCAGGATCCTCGCAAGTGGTGATTCCCTTCTAATCCATTGGGGGCGTTACTCCCAAACCCTCATGTTTCCAAGTTCACTTTGGCTTATCCGAACATGTATTGTGCACCTCCAAACTCATATCGTAACTAAAGCCAAATTAAGTTTGTCTCAAATTAATTTCGGCTATACTAAATGGATTAAATTACAATAAAATCACCTAACAATGATTGTGATAATGGTCATAAGAATTGTAAAATCACTCCTCCGTCCTTACAAAACAGAAAAACTAATTTACGAACAACAGCACATGTCGAGAAGCCAACCACACTATTTTTCAATGCATTGACCACCGAAAGAAATAGTATACGTACGTTTGCTTACACTTACATACATGTTGACCATATAAAAAGTAGTTTAGTAAATCCCATCAGCCTAAAAGACAAAAAAGTTTAATTCACGATTCAGGATTTTAATGATAAGCTTAGGCCGTTTTAACAATAAGAAAAAGAATTTTCTTTTTTCTAATAATAAAATATTGTTTTAAGCTTAAACTAATACCAATAATTTCATTAACTCATAATGTTATGTCTTCTTCTAAAGTTTTCTTTTAAATCCTTTGTTTCAGGCTGAAGAAGAAGTGATGACAACCTTTTTTAACTGTTTTGAGTGTATATGTTTTATCCTTCGTTAAAAAGAACTTTAAAAAATTGTAAGATTAGCTATTACTTCTGCAACAAATAAGTAAAAGATAATTTATACATAAAAGAACCAAAATTATTTTTTTGCACTTGTATAAATCAATAAAATAAATTTTAATATAAAATATAAACAAATATACAAAGGTCCGACGCTTTCTTCTTTCTTCTTTCTTCTTCCCCCGTTCTAAGGTTATGGGGAGTGGTCACCATCAATCCACCGAAAAAAATTTCTCACCTCTGTGTCAAGTCAGCTTCACCACCAACTCACTAGACATAGGAAACGGTTACCATTCCACAAATTTCTTTCTTTTTTTATTTTTTATTTTTTTTATTAAATTAAATAAAAACATAATTTAAAACATAATAAAATATTTTACATTATATGAAACCACATTACATTAATTAAAAAAAAACATAAAAAATTAAACCTAAATTACTAAAAAAAACATAAAAACACAGAAAATGAAAACTAAAATACTAAAAAAAAACATAAAAATAACATAGAAAAATAAACCTAAATTACTAAAAATCATATATATATATATATATATATATATATATATATATATATATATGAAAATTATGAAAGATAAATACTAAACTTTGTTTTTGGTAGAATTGGTCCATGTATTATTATTGGGCTTCAAAGGTAGGAATAATAATTTTGGATGTTTTTTGGCAACTTTGCTCCTCATTCTTTAACCATTTTGACACTTTTGGTCCTTGCAACCAATATTTTTACACTTTTTAGGAACCTTTTAATATTTAAAGTTTGGCCACAAAACTTTAACGATTTGATAACTTTGATCCCTTTTCTAAAAAGTTGCAAATTCCTACCCCTTTAATTCTTTAGCCATTTTGACACTTCTGGTCCTTACAGTCAAAACTTTTACATTTTTTCATAAAAACTAGATGTTTTTTGGCAACTTTGCTCCTCATTCTTTAACCATTTTGATATTTTTTGTCCTTACAATCAATATTTTTACACTTTTTAGGAACCTTTTAATCTTTAAAGTTTGGCTACAAAACTTTATTTGATTCCTTTTCTGCTAATTCATACTCTTTTAATTCTTTAGCCATTTTGACACTTCTGGTCCTTGCAGTCAAAACTTTTACATTTTTTCATAAAAACATGAAAAAAAAACGGTCTGGGGCAAAGTCCAGGCTTTTCATCCTTGCATTTTCTACATCTGTCATATTTATCGATTCGCAAACAACATTGAAAGCTTCTGGCCCCCGCGTAGCGGGGGTAACCTTTCTAGTATATATATTATATATATATATATATATATATATATTATATATATAATATATATAAGACATAGAATCTAGTTGCGATATTTGTCAAGAACCTTTTGTTGAAATTTTAAGAACACCCTTAAATTTTCCGGATCGAGATTCGGTTGCGGCACCGTGTTTATAATTTGAAGATCGGTGAGTGTCAATTGTCGCCGACGAGCTTCCTCCGTTGATTCAAAAAAAAATTAAAATTTTAGAATTTTGTCTATTTTCTCCGCTAGTACGTCCTCGTCGGTTGATTTTCCGCTAGAAGACGTCCCCTTTCTCGCTTTGTCCCTTCCCAGTGGTCGACGAAGTTGGACGTCCGGTGGACCCTCCCCCTCGGTGGCGTCGAACTCATCATTGAGGTCGAGATTAACACCAATGTCCGACTCGGAGGCTCTCGGCCTTTTGTTGGAGCCGGTGGTAGATCTCGAACGCATCGTATCCGGATAAAGGACCCATTTTGGACCATTGCGACAAACTTCCCACACTTTTTGGTTGGCAAATGGTTTACCATTGTTGGTAGTTTTGTATTGGTACAACGCGGTTGATAAAATGTTGAAATCGTTGCTACCACTTCTATGCATATTTTTAAGATTGTCAAATACGTCGTTAAATTTGGTGCAAGCCGCTCGAAGGTCACGCCATTTTGCATTGAACCGAGTCGTATGTTCGACTCGTTTGTCTTCCTAATAACCCGTGGAAGTGGTCTACAACACGATTCCAAAAGCTTTGGCCCGTTTGCGCGTTGCCGACATCCTTGTCTTGTGATATGAAAATTCAAGCTTTAGCTAAAGTTTCCTCCTCATCCTCGGTCCATTGCGTACTTTCTTTTTCCTAGGATCTTTTGATTTTTTTTGGCCTTCTACGACTTGGTTGTGCTTCTTCAATCCGTTCGTTGTCGTCGTCATTGTCGAGATTTATAGGTTGAGATTGAGATAATGGAACTTGAGATGGTTGTGAAGTTTGTTGATGTTGGGAAGTTTGAGGTTGAAATTGCAGAGAAGGCTGTTGTTGAAAGACTTGAAGTTGAGGTTGAATGAATTGGGGTGGTTGTTGTTGTTGGTAGTAGTGTAGATGGTATGGAAGATTAGTGAATAGAGGTTGTTGAATTGGATATGATATCAACTACATGTAGCTAAGATTCGCTAACCGATCATTTGGAGTGATTGGGGTGTTCGGGGCATTTTGGTTTGGATCCATAACAATATGTGAGGAAGAAATATTTTTTGGTGAATATTTGTGTTTGTATTGAAAAAAAAAAGTTATATATAGAGAAAGTTGTAGTAATTAAATAATGATTTTTTTTAATGTGTCAAACGGTCACATTAAACAGTCAAAAAAAGAATAACCAATCAAATCCGTCGTCTCAACCCGTCTCCGCGAGGACGCCACAATCAACCCACCGGAGGTGGGGGCGGTGTTCACGCGTCTTGGGGGCTGACACGTCAGCCTCCACGCGTCTTCTCCTTACCACTCCGGACAGCCTAAGCAAGCAATGTGACATTAAAAAATCTTTGTTTTAAATGATAAAAGAAAGAGCTAAAACTCACTGATTTCGTAAATATGAACAATATAAGATTATTTTTTCGTAAATATTTCAAACAGCCACTAATGTTTCGAATGAGGAACAAGTCTTTATCATAACTACAGATTTTATCTGTCATATATCCAATATCCAAATAGTAATATATATATATCATATATCAAACAAAAGGAGTACACACTACACACCGCATAAATATCACAAGAGTAAGACTACGGAACAAACCATTCAAACCTTGCTCAAACTTCATTACCCTATTACTATTAGTACTTTGACCGGCTTCTCACCCTGCAAAATTTGGTCAAAATCAGTTTTTTCCAAATTTAACTTCAAAAGTAACAATCCCTCTTTAGTTTTTATCAAACACATTGTTATCACCTCGGGGAGCGAGAGCGAGAGATTGAACGAGAGCGGGCCCGCAAAGGGGACACAGACCGCGATCGAGATCGAGACCGTGAATGGTACCTTCTAGAACTTCTCCCCCTACTTGGACTTCTACTCCGCCTATATCGCCTGCAAATAATTATACACACATCGTTACCTAATTATTATATCAAAAAGATATTAATTTAATTTCTTAACAAAATTAAAAAATTTTAACAACCTTGGAGGCGAGCGACTGTAACTTCTGCTTCTGCTTCTATGCCTGTATCTACTACTTAATCTATTAGTTTCCGCAAGTTTCTCAAGCCTTTGTCTCTCCTGTTCTCGTTTCTTAGCCATTTCAGCAGCAGTGTCCTTCTTAACTGTAAACACATTACATTTACAGATCATCATCAACAATCACCCCAAAATTCAAATTATGATATAAATTTAAAACAGAATAAAATATCACTTTGTTTGTTCAACTGTTTGCTCATGATCCGCTTAAGTCGTTCTTGAGGTGTTTCTTTTTTCTCTCCTTGTGGTTTCCCGAGGCTTCCGCTTCCGGAAGCTTTCGTTAACTTTGCTAATCCCGATGAAGATCTACCATATAACAACAAAAAAAAACATAAGAATTTGACAAATACGATGTTGCACTCGAAGCTGAAAAACAAAAAATACCCGAGGGACGGTTTTGTCAATTTTGCATTTCGTTCGCTATCAAGCGATACGCCAGAAGCAGGATCGATATGCAAGGCTTCAAGAATTTGTCCAGATGAGGGCCTACAAAAAAAAAAAAAAAAGCAAAGGGTCATTTTCGGGAATTATAACGAAAGTTGGAAGCCTAACAAGAAAGGAGAAAGAAAGAAAGAACGGGATTATGAAAGGAAGCTTCCTCCTAAAACAGAAAAATTCGCCAAGTGTCGAATCTAGCTATGCAATAAATTAGAAGAGTGCTCCGACCGGTTTAATGCACCAACATGTGATGATGGAGGAGATGATGGAGGCGTGTATCCAGCGAGCTTCGGTCCACCACCATCTGGTGAGCCTCCAAATTCTGTTATGTATTCTATTTTTGGAGCCCTTGGATTACTCCGGTGACTATCCTCGAAATCATCACGACCATGTCGCCTTGATTTTGATGATGGTGAGTATGATCGTGATCTTGATCTGTAAATTCAATTGTTTTAGTGTTAGTTATTGAATTATTGTTATAAGTTGTTAAAAAGAATCCTAGAAATTTATACCTTCTAGAACGTGAATAAGCTTCATATGTTGGACTTCTTCTTGACTCCCTGTGTCATGATATTCATTAGGTAGTGTTTTTGTATTCAGTAATCGAAATGAGGGAATGGAATGTGATAATCACATTCCATTCCTTTGTGATTAATTCCATTCCATCATACCAAATAGACCCTTATTTTATTTAAAAGTATGTACCGATATGGATCATGATGAAGCACACGACTACCAGAAACCCGTGCTGATTCCCTCTCCCTTTCTCTTTCAATTTGAGAAGCTTTTCTTCTTTCTTTACGACTCAGTTTCCTCTACAATTTCAAAACACAAAACTTAAGTAAAAATCGAGTCATTTTCTACAACTATATAAAGACAAATCAAATGTAGAAGGTGATAGTATACATACAATTGCAGGGTCTCCCTTCACAACTTCCTTTTGTCTCCTTTCCTCTTCTTTAGCTTTTTTATCCATGTATACAAGCCACCCATACCTTTTCACTCCAAATTCTTTAGCAATTATATCCATCCCTTCATCATTGCTATCATCACTATTGAAATCATCTTCATCCTCATCCTCATCATCGTCGTCATCATCATCATCTGAATCTTGATTTTCATCTTTCACACCCCCATCATATGAGAAGCCCACTTGTGAATAAGAACCCTTGTTTGCAGGAGCTTGGGTTGTTTGAGACCTGTTAAATATATAAAAAGTTCAAATAAGTAAACTAAGAGCACCCAAAAAAAAAAAACTACTGTGGGTGCTTTTTCATTCCAAAGCATTTTCACATTACTTGTAAACTTGCAAGCTCAGTGAATAGTGCTTTTTCGTATTTGTAATAATGTTTTATTCATTTGCTTTATAAATTGATATTGGTAGTCCCCATAAATAAGCTTTGTTGAAAAGCTGTTAACTTTTTTGGTTTGTTGATGTGACTTGGCACCAAAAAGTCTAATGTAAAAGCTCTGCTCTAAGACATAAAAAAAATCATGTACATGTTCATATATTTCAAACCTGTCTAATCCAAATAAAGCAGCAGTTTTAGCCTCCATCTCTTGGTTAACATGATGCAGACCTTCTTCATCACTAACTGTTAATATAGACCACAGCAGCTTGTAAAACAAGGATTAAAGTAATACCAACTTATGGTAATGACTTAGAAAAAGGTTGCCTGATGATTCTTGAAGATTGCCTTGTCACTAACAGTAGTTATTAAAGTCAATAATTTAAAATATTTTATATGATCATGAAACCAAAAGAAGTACCGACATCCTCTACGTCGATGCTTAATTAAATCCCGGTATCGCTCAAAACTAACAAACTCTTCTAATTCTTCTTCTTCCTCTGTCTTCTCAATGACACGGAATCGTCTAGAATCAGGATCTCTTATGAAATCAAGAAGAGCACGCCCATCAAATCTACAAAAAGAATATTGAGAAACAAGACAATAAGGTGGATGAACCTTCCTAAACTGTCAGAACTTTGAGAAAGATAGAATCAGAAATGCAGTACCTGTCAATCATAATGTCTTGTTTCCCATTCCATGGGATCCTGAAACACAGTAGAAACAGAATGTCATGATGTCTAGGTAAAAGAGAAGATAGTTTTGGACATGAAATTAGAGATAAACAGAATCGATTCCAAATAAAGGCCATATAATCTCTATATCCAAATTAACTCATAGCATACCAGCAACTTATCAGAATTCAGAGGTGATGTTTTGTTTGGTTTGTGACATCACCATAACCGATTGCCAAAAATGGTGATGAAAGTTAACTATGACAATATTCTAGTAATTCAACCATTTAGATTAGGTCATAATAACATCCATTTTCCTCTATTCTCCCCCTTTTTTATATCAGAAGTTCCTAGGGCTCGGAATTTATCTTGCAGAGCTAATTAGTACACAGGCTAATCTGGATGGAGTTACAATTGTGAAGACATCTACCTAAAAAATAGAATTACTAACATCAACAATGAACGAGAAATTAAAACTTCTTCATAATCGAAGAAACAATATGACAGATTCTTAATCGAGAGCTCATAACAAAATTACGAAACAAAAAATTAACTGAAGGCGACATATAATTTACGAAAATACAGAAACATACAGGCCTTGCTGATCTTCGGTGGCTTGGTAGAGGCCATCGTCACGGTACACACGGCAGCGAGAGCCTGAGACCTGTATCGATTGCTGTGGATCACCCCGCCGCTTGGCTAGGTATACAGCCCGCCTCTGTGCCCTCTTCCGCGCGGCGTCCATCATGTCATGGACCTTCCTCTCCGACCGACGAGCTTCGTGCCACATCGTTTCACTCTCCCACAATCGATGGATCGATCGATTGGTTGATTCGATTTCAGATAGACGAACACTGTAGAAGAATCGAAACCTACTGCCCCTACGCCGAAGGAAATAGAAGTTGGGACCAGGGAAGGAAAGGAAGAAATAAGATAATTTGCAAACAAGTCCTTACAGAATTTACAACTGTCTAAAACTATCTATTAATATTTTGTAATTCTAATCAAAATAAACTTTTTTGAGTTAATTACAAATTTGGTCCCATTTCTTTACTTAATATATATTGGTTTGGTCTAAAATTTGTTTTTTCTCCCAAAATCAATTCTATGGACATGCTAATGTGGTTTCATTTGGTTGTTGATTTAGTCATGCATCATGAAACGGTCTAACTACTTGCCTTTTTTAATATGATCATTATATGTTTATTTTGTATTCTTATCTTTTTCATTTTCATTTCATGAATCCTTAAAAATAAAATGAAATCAAAAACTATAGTCAAATGAATCAAATAGATAATTTACATGTAAACTTCAATTTTTCACTAAACATACAAAACCCATAACTTATTAAACATCTCCTAAGTTATAAGTAACATTTTTCTTACATTGTTCCAAGGAATCAAGAAGAAGAAATTGTTGGGTTATGAGATTCTTTGGCCACGGAGTCACAAACACAGTGGAAGCATATAAATCAAAACTTAACTTATAACTCAATAGATGGATCCATGTTCAAACCAATCAGTGCAACTAATAATAACTAAAGAGAAGGAAAAGAAACTTCTTTTCGTAGCATTTGATTTCATCTTTCTCGCCAGTTGATCTGATGAGTGAGAACCCAACATAGGATACGTCATTTGTAATCGCACCCAAGACACAGTAGATCAGTCAAGACATCTTTTGTAACAGATCACCAACAAACCCCAAACGATTTAGGGTTTCTTCGAAAAACGCAACATTTGGATCAAGGGAAGCGGCGTGTCCAACGGGTTTGTTCGGGATTTAGAGATCGAACAGTGGATTCCGATTTCTCTAGGTTTTTGCTACTAGAAATCAGATGAATTTGGGATGATGAAATCCAAAAATAGGATCCTCTGTTTATAAAGGAGGTTTATGAGTCCTTATTATATAATTAGTTGTCCATTGTGAAATTATCTATAAGGCAAGTGTATATCCAAAAGATTTGACTTTCAATTCTTTACCCTTTGATCCCTTTATGTAACATCTCAAAATTCAAGACCAAAAATTTCATTTTTAATTAAGTAATTATAAAACCAATAGTCTGAAAACATTCATAGTGTCATCCCATATCAAAACCAATATGTCAATAATCAAAACATGTCATAATAAAACAACATCAGAGTATAAGTCCCAAATATCTCATGTGCGGAAATCATGGTGTGATGCGTTGCGATCATGCCGGCTTATTTCCTTTCGAAGAAGAAGTACTTGAAACCAAAACTAAAAACCGTAAGCACGAAGCTTAGTGAGTTCCCCCATCATACCACATACCATATAATAAACATATTGCCTAGCATATCCGAGTGTTGGCCTACCCCTTCAGTCTCTTTCAACCGGTACTGCCTAGGATATCAGGGTGTTGGCCTTCCCCCTTCGGTCTCTTTCAACCGGTAACTGCCTAGCATATCTGAGTGTTGGCCTACCCCTTCGGTCTCTTTCAAACGGTTACGGGGTCTATTTCGCCCCCTACCACTACCACATAACAGCATACATAATCATATGGGTGCCCGACCTACCCCTTCGGTCTTATCAACCGGATACATGGTCTATTTCACCCCTACCACTACCACATAATATCATAGCATACTAGCACATAAATCATAACAGATAGTGGCATACCAGACAATTATCACAAAGACAATCATCTAGCTACAAACTCCTACTAGTGGGTCGGCCTTGGTGCCTTAGACCCACTGCTACCGGGTAGGTAACTCACCTCGAAAACTGGAAGTAGTTGAACAATCCCCGGCTCCGGATATCAACCCAACTCAAACCCCTACACATAAAAGATTTCCTTAATTACTCTTCCATACACATAACCCCTTAAGGGTCAACTTTGGTCCAAGTCAAAGTCAAAGTCAAAGTCAATGCTCTGCGTTGACTCGAATGGTCGAGTTTGCCCTTCAACTCGCCAAGTTCCCATGAATCATGAAATCGTGATCCAACTCATAGAGTTTTCCTACAACTCGCTGAGTTCCTCCTTAACTCACAACATTGCGATATCCCAGGTCGACTCGTCGAGTTTTCTCCCAACTCGCCGAGTTCGTCCCTTATAACAAAAATCGGGACACTTTCAATCAACTCGTCGAGTTCCTCTATGAACTCGTCGAGTTCTTCAGTTTGTTAAGCCTTCTTAATGCATTAAGTCCCTATTCTTCAAACCAATCTATTATCTTCTGGATCTAGGCTGGAAATACGTCTAGAAGGGTGAAGTTTCCAACTTTACCCATTAAGGATCTCTCCCCACGCATAAAGCTCAAACCCTAACCCAAAATGGCTTAGATCCAACTCCAAAATCCATCAAAACTTCAAAATAGACCATGAGGTCATAGATCTGGACTCAAGGGACAATTTGGTCACGTAAAGCTCCCATCTTTACTCGCATGCATGACATAATAGGGCTTAAAAGACCAAAATGATGGTCTAAAGGTTGCATGGGACTTCAATGGCCATAAAGTTGACACCTTTATGCCATGAAGTTCCCTCAAGACCCTAGACCTGAAGGGTTTGCACAAATGGGACGTCCAAATCCCAACCATCAACATACTTGGACCAAAACATGAAGCAAAACATCCTAAGACTAGATCTAAGCATGCCATGGACAAGGTTGAAGCTTTATACCTCAGATGAATCAGAAATGAAGCCCAACTTCTGGATCTACTCTCCTCCCACACGTTCTTGCTCCTCCTTCAAGCTTCTTTTTCTTCAAACTCACCAATAATTCACAATATTAGCTCACAATCACCAAAAATGGCTTAGGGTTTCGAGACTAGGGCTTTGGGCAGTGGAGGCTGGAGATGAGGCCAACACCTTGGGGTTAAGGTGTTTAAATAGGGTGCAAAACCTCGGGATCATGGTTTCATTTTTTCCAGCCTACTCGTCGAGTTGAGGCTCCCTAACTCGTCGAGTAGGTTTCCAGAATCCACAGTCCAATTCATCTCTACTCGGCGAGTTGGGGCCTCCAACTCATCGAGTTTCTATATAAAAGTGAATAATTATAAATTAGATACATACCAGGAACCAGGGGTTATTGATGTGTTTCGAGCACTACATCAATCCTATGGTGTACATGCAAACCCTAATAGCTTTGGATCTAGTTTGTCTAATGAACATGCAATTGATAATCCAAAGCCATAAACCCTAGATCTAATAAACTATAACTGGAATTAGGGTTTAGATCTTACCTTTGATTGTTATATAGGAGAAAGCTTAGTGCCTCAAGTGTTGCACCTCTAATGGAGTCACAAACACCACTACACAACTTGGATGAAGAGGGAGGAGTGAGGAGGCACCAAAAACGGCTGGAAACCCTAAAGGAGGTATTCACCAACGTTTTTGGGGCCATAAGGGTTCCTTATATATGCTGGCTATTATGGTTTACAGCTAGGAAACCCTAATCTGACTGCTTAAGCCCTAAGCAGCCCATGGACTCCTTCTTTAGAAGCCTTGGACGATTTCTAATGGGTTTCCCCATAGAATTCGTCCACTCCAACTTCTACGGAGTCCATTAGCCCATCTATGTAATTATCTTATAATTACACAATAAGTCCCTTAAGTTTAATTAATCTCTTTTAGCCACAAAATTATTTCTTAATTAATTATTGAGTAATATTAATTAAACAATATGATTTCTCCTTTAATATATTATTCTCATAATATATTAATAAATCATAATTAAACCTTTCTCTTCTTAATTCATCCTACATATTGCTATGGTGAAGGCAACCCAAAAGGACCATGCTCACAATCGGGTCAAGTACATACCAAAATAGTTATGTACTTAGACACTAATCCAACAGTCTCCCACTTGGATAAGTCTAATAACTATTTTGCATAACTTCAGAACCTGATCAGCAATCGTAGCTTTCAAAAGCCGCTGTCAACTCTGATCTTATCAGATACGTGTGTCCTTTAGATAAGGGATCATATATTCCTCCATTCTCAAGATATCATATAGACACAAGACATGAATTTCGATCATTCTCTCTATACTGTTTCCCGACTTCTGATTTATGACTACTGACAACAGACTACAATTGAACACATCAACTTAGTCCCGACTTGGCCAAGCGCTTAGGGTGTCATCACAAAATCATCAAGGGGCCCATAGATATTGCTTTTATCCCACTTTGGGTAAAAGGAATGGATAAACTTTGACTCAAATGCTTGCTTGCACCTACTAATCGAATCACACACAACAATAATTTTTATAACACCAAGTTACTGGTGCGTTTACTTATCATCAATGTGCAACCGACCAGCAAATAAAAACTCACACGTCTCGGTTTCAAGAATATACAATATTATCGTCTCACAATCACTCGTGATAAAATCCATGAAGTGATTCAGGTGAGCATGGGTTTAATCCAATACTCTAATCTTATTAAAGCACTCATGAACTCTACAGCAAACTTGTGTTATGTCTAAACTCTTTAGACAATCTACAGACTCTTCATGACAGTCTTGCTTCATACCTACTTCCAACGTATGACCGACTGTGGATGTTTGAATAACCTAGTTATTCTGGAAGTCAAAACATGCAGAGTGAAACGCAATAATAATATTAATCCTATATGGCCCCAAAGCTTTTGAGCGTAAATAAAACACTTTTATTTAAACACCATATTGATTACCCATTATTCATTGCTTACTGTTTCAGAAAATCAACTTATTTCTTGAATTACAACAATAGCTGTCCCATGCTCCGAGCATGCACACTATGTTTCCTATGGTTCATGCTTTGTGAAATATATCCATTGAAAACTTTTCCAATGATGCTCATTTCACAATTCCTAATCCTCAACGATAGTGTAAGAATACAAGGTTCTTGCCACTACTAGAATATGTTAGATTCTAACATTTTTATGC